CGTTGCAATATGCGTTTTTGCTGCCTGTTGCAGCGCTCTAGCGCTGCATGGCAAAAACGCATAAAAGTCGGTACAAACGAACACACAGACGCACAGACACACAGACACACACACACACACAGACAACCTCTCGTCAATATGCGTTTTCTGCATTGCATAGCTGTAAAAAGCGCATAAAAAATGGACAGATCAAGTGAGGCGGCCGAACTAGGTGAAATTGACAAAAATTTTTTTTAGCCATTGATGGGCGGAACCAATTACGTTCTGAAACAAAGGCCAGTCCAAGCGCTGGAAAACACGGAACAACTGAATTTACAAATTTTAATGGGGGAATTAGTTAATAGAACATGATGGGAAAGATAGTAGGGTCGTCATTGTGGTTCAAACTGTATCATTTGTAAAAGAGTCATATAAAGAGGAGTTTGCAAAAGTTTGTCTGCCTGTGTTTCATCCCTTAGCTGTAAACACAGACAGTTTAAGGTATGATTAGGGGTGGGAATCGTCAGTACAGCCCTCCGATCACCATGTCAAGTACCATGGTGTATGAAGATAGAAAGAGAGAAGAATGTTTGTGCGTTGCTGTTAGATATTGGCCTTGGCATTCTTTTCGTTTTTTTTTCTCCGATAGCCTATACGCACCATTCACATTCAAGTCTCTGCGCTGGTTTATGAACATATCTGTTGTGTTTCAGATTTATGTTAGGTTTTTTTTTTGGCTTATTTTTGAGGAAATTTAAAAACAGGAATTCCTCGACCAGTATGACACAGTGGTTTGATGTGACCGTAGTGACTTCGATTTGTGTGTTTTTTTATCAGAGTTGCTTTGCAGGTGAAGTACAACTACAGCATTTCCCGTTTCTGACGCGTGGTCTTTGTGCAGTGGTATGCTACTATGATGCACATCGTTTCATCAGCGCATCTGTCAGGGTAATTTACCGTTCAAAATTATGAATACGAGTTCTTTTGTTTCGAGTTGATTGGGCTGAGCTACTGTCTGCACTTCAGTGTCCGGATAATAGGGAAGCTCAAGTCCTGAAGTTTTCTTGAGCGTTGTTTTCACACATCTTGGTAACATCGAAACCTCTCACTGATTGTTCTCGCTGC